CAATTTTCCACTTAATTAAGGGTGTAAACATTTTGTCTTTTATGTCCAAAATTTCTTTAGACAACTCGGTATCATTTATATATTTGTTAATGTTAAAAGATTTTAGGTGGTTCGCATACCGAGATTTGAATGGAGTTTCACATAAGCCAAAATATACTTTTTCTTTGTAGTCAGGTTTATTTGTCGACAAAGTGGCTTGATAAACGATGTTTTTTGTCAAGCACTGATTGACAATCAGTGCTTGACGTTGCTCTATTTAAAATATCTTTTGAATATTGAGCACTCTTTTTCGACTATGAGTTTGGTATAATTATTATAAGACAAAACAACCTTAGATCCCCACCACGTCCCTGGTAGTACTGCGCTCAACTCGTTTCTCTGCGCAGTGGCCTTGTTCATCAAGGTTCGTGTTTCGGAGTTATAGAGTTGAGAGAGGGTTATAACCACAAATAAGTAGCCTCCTTGTCTGTAGTGGCCTTCTCGGCCTTGAGGAGGTGAATAAAATTAAAAATATATATATATATATATTTATATATATATATATATATTTATACACAAACGCATACACATAAATGCATACACACATTTATAGATATATTAATATTGCTCACCCAACACTGTTCTGTCAGGGTCAAGAACTTTTTCTTCTAGAACAGCTAAATGCTGGTTGATGCGAATTGGCAAAGGAACATCATCATCCTTAGTCCATCCACCTAAAGGATGAAGCAACAACACTGGGTTTTTAAAACCTCTACTGAGCAATTCTTTTTGAGTGTCTTGCATGAGAAGAGCATGGCCATTGTGCACTGGATTTCGTAATTGAAAAGCGAAAACAGCATCAGCATTTAAGTCTTTAAATTTTTTTCTCAGCTCATTTGGTTTCAAACGAAACTCATCAAGTCCATCATTCCATTTAATGGCACCTGAAAGATAACAAACATTATGCATTATTTTCTTAAATTTTGTCAATTTTCTTACTCTTGAGCCCCTAATAAAAGGGGGGAGGGTGATGGAACATTTATGATTTAACAAAAAAAAAAATTTATTCACCCCAAGCTTATTAAGAGCCCCCCATTTATTAATTTTTACTTGCCTCGAGACAAGTAGAAATTATAAATGGAGGGCTTTTAATAAGCTTCTCTCGAGTCTTTAAAAAACTTTTATAAATAATCAAAGTTTTTTAAAGACTCAAGAGTATTCAAAAAACTTACCTAAAACATCTAATTTTCCACCAATTAGCCAATCTCCCATGTCATGTACCATTTTGATGTATGGATGATTAAGACTTCTTGTTCCAAACTGTCTGCAGCAACGTTCCTCTTTTCTATGAGGAAAGATCTCAATATCTCTCATAATAGCAACTAATTTATTTTCATAGTACAATGCAATATTTTTTTGCTCTGCAACCCTTACTTTATCATTGTCATTTAGTGATAGTACAATTGGAACAGACTGATTTACAACATCTGCATCTTGTAGACAGTTGAAATGCAGAGATTGTAAATATTCTCTCTCTTTCATAAAACCTTTAAATGAAAAAAATAATGATAATAATTTAAATATATGACATTAAAAGTCACAGTTCAATGTATGATATATTTGATATGTATGATATATAATATATTTTTTAATATATTATATATCATACATATCAAACATATCATACATTGTAATATATATATAAAATGTAAATATATATAATGATATATAATATATTTATTTATTATATTGAAAAATAATAAAACATAAATTTGAAAATACTTAATTAGCAAAGATTATTAAAAATATAATCATAACACTATAAAAAATTCCTTTAACTGAAATTTATTTTACATACCAGTTAAAGGTGATGCCCACCCTTCTGCTAATACTTGAACCCATTGCATATCTACTAAACCAATATTTAAAGGTTCTAATTTTGATGCTTCTTTTTCTAGTTCAGGGATTTGCTCGTTATTAACAAACAGTTCTCTAACTTCACTTAATATTGAGACAGGCAAAATATTGTTTTTCTCAAGCATTTTTAAAAGTTCTTGAACACATTCATCAACAGATAATTCTCCAGCTTTCAAAATAATATCAGGTTTATTTGGAACTTCATAAGTAGAATCAATACCAGTAAAACCTTTAATAATACCAGCACGTGCTTTCTTGTATAGGCCTTTTACATCTCTGTTTTCACAAATCTCTAATGATGTATCTACATAACACTCAAAAAAATTTAGTCCAACTTCTTCGTGAAGCTGTCTTGCTTTAGCACGATCTTGAGCATATGGACTAATAAAGCTTGATAAACAGACAATGCCAGCATCAGCAAATAATTTTGCAACTTCACTAACACGGCGAATATTCTCCTCTCTATCTTCAGGACTGAAGCCCAAATTTTTATTCAAGCCAGTGCGCATATTATCTCCATCTAAGCTGTATGATGGTATTCCACGGAAACATAAATATTCTTCTAAAGCAAAACTTATTGTTGTTTTTCCAGCACCTGACAAACCTGTTTAAAAATATTAATAAAATTATTAATTACATTTATGTATATTTCTCTCTCTCTCTACATTTATATATATATATATATATATATATATATATATATATATATATATATATATATATATATATATATATATATATATATATATATATATATATATATATATATATATACACAATATAACAACAGTATTCCATAAAAATAAGAGATTTATAGAGGTAGAGAATAGAATCAGAACCAAGTAAAATACATCAGCTAAGTGAAGATGATTTTGACAAAAGAATAAAGTTTTGTGATATTATGTTAAAGTTTAAAGATAATTACAATTTGCTAATTAAGATTATTTAATCTGACAAAAGCCAATTCAAGCTGAATAGTATTATAAAATTGTTACTATTGGGCCTATTCTAATCAGCTCAAACAAACACCTGAACCCAACTCAAAGAATGGAGTAATGGTGTGATGTGGAATAATCTTAGGCAGTCTGATTGGTCCATATTTTTTTGAAAGTTTGGCCATAGGTGATTCATATTTACAAATGCTTGAAGAGTTTTTATGGTCTCAAGGTAAATAACAATTTAAAACAAAAAAATTTCAAATGAAAGAAAGCTCTTAAAATATTTATGGGAAACAAAAGAGAAATTTAAAAAAACATCTGACATTGTCCATCCTAAAAATAACTGCTTACAACAAAACACCAAACAAAAAATTATTTGGTCTGTATGAAAAACTAGTCATCTACTACATTAAAATGCTTAAAATAAAAAAACTGATTTTCTAAAGCCCCTTATAAAAATAATTTTCTTTTTAGCAACTACAAACCAATTACACAAGTATTTTGTTGCATAGCAACAAAATTCTTGTGTAATTGGTTTGCATTAGTTTTTATCAGAGTCTGTGATGTGAAGTGATGACTAAAATTATGAAATTATTTAAAGTTATTATGTTTATATTGAAAAGTTTTTTTTAAAGAGAGCTAAAATGTAAATGCAACAATGCAAACCAATGATCTGATGATTTTGAAATTAAAACAAATAAGGTTTCTAACTAATACATTAAAAAAAAGATAAAACTATTTTTTTAAAAATTTGATGATTAATGTCTTGAGTTAAATTAATGAGTTAAAATAATGTCATTCAATGGTCTGGAATTCATGGCCCCCCTTTTTTTTTTTTAAAACACCTTCAGTTCCAACAAGTCTGCAAGCAACCATTATAAGAGTTGGAAGTTACTGGAAGAGAAAAGATGAAGCTTATAGAGATAACGATCAACAGGCGACTTAAAATTTGCAAACTATATGAATCAGAAAAAAAAGATAAAGCGAATTTCGAAGAACTGATATTTGAGGAAAAAAACTAGACAAATAAGAAATTTTGGAGCACTTAGGAACAGTCACAGTAAAAGCATGACATGGCGAGTATCACGAGAATGAATTTTAGTAGGTGGCACAAGAGATGCTAACTCTTTAGAGCAGTGTCCATTATAGTATTTATAAAAAAGAGAAAGAGAAGCAACATTACAACAATGTGATAATGGTTGGAGGTTTGCTGCAAGAGCAGGTCCAGTTATGTTTACAATGCATTTTTGCATGTTGTATAAAAGAGAGAGACCATCATTGGAAAATCCGCTTTAGATTTGGCAACAGTATTCCAAACAAGGACGGTTTGAGATTTATAGAAATAAAGAATAGAATCCTGAGTATAGATTTAATAATGTTACCTGATACACTATAAGAACAAAGCTTATGGAGAAGACCAGCATGCTAAATGTTATCAAAAGCTTTAGAAATTTCAAGAGCAATAACCTTAGCCACTTCACCTCTATCTAATGCAAGATAAAACTTATAGGTTATTACTGTTACCAAATCAACTATAGAATGAGGAGATCAAATCTATATTGGTGATCAGAAAGTTATTAGATTCAGGATGAGAGAATAAGTGTTTGTTAATTAAAGACTCAAAAACTTTGCTTATGATAGAAAAAAGACTAATGGGACAGTAGTTGAACAAGTTAGATAGCTCTTCAAAACATTTAAAAATAGGGATAACAAATGCTGCTTTCCATCAGGTTGGAAAACAAGACTCTGACAAGCACTTGTTAAATAGTTTTGAAAGAACAGAAAACAGCTCTGGAAAACACTTCTGCAAGACTATAACAACTATGTTGTCCGGACCACATGCTGTGAAAGAGTCTAAGCAGGAAATCACTTTAGATACAGAAGCTGGAGTTATACAAATGTCAAGCAATAATCAACCTGTTTGTCAGCTATATATCAGGTTGAACGCGACTAGTGGAATCAAGAGATGATATTGATGAGAAGTTCTTAGCAAACAACTTAACTTTGTCTTTAGATGAGGTAATAAAATCTGAACCATACAAAAGAGGTGGAATAACAGATTTGCCCTTATTATAAATACTGTTAAAAATTCTCCAAAAGTTGTCTTTATGTTTAAACTTTATAACTTTTTCTTTAAAAGTTTTTTTAAAAAATGTGACTGTAAAAGTATTGCAAGAAATAAAAAATTTTGATATAAAACCTCTCATTCTTGGTCAGGTCAAACAGGGCATGACAAATTGTTTTTTTTTAATGGACGTTGACATTCATATCTTCTAATATTGACGAATGTCTAATTTAAGAGAAACATATCAAATAAAGGAGTTTTATTTTTAAATAAATTTTATTCTAGTTAATAAGTTATTGAATATATCAAAGATGCTTATTAAACTTAATGAATAGTCATATTTTCAGAACAATTTTTCACGCATTTGCGAATGGCACGCAAATTATTGATTAATATACAATGATTTTTAACTGTTATCCAACAATATAAAACTTTTTTTAAATTTAGTTTGTTAAATTTATTTACTCATAAAATATACGGATATACATGCAGAAAATAAAATAAAAGGAGCTAAAAAAATATAAATCGCAAAATGACGTCTCATTAATATTTATATATGATTTTTTTATTTTTATAAATGGATTTAAGAATTGCTAGAACTTTTTGACTTACGGCCTTCCAAATGTCTAATACCAACCGATGTGTCAATCCAATTTTTGACATATATTTGCGGCAAAAAGTCTTTAATTAACTGGCCATCAAACTTTAGAGGCATAATATCTTCTAAGGTGTCTTCATTTAATGAAGTTCACAAAACAATTTTTTGGAAGTTCATACAAAAAAACTGTGTTCACAACTTGCCGTTAAAGCGCTGAAAGTTAGCATAATCTCTAACAAAATATTTATACTTGCCAATTCAGTATCCTTTCCAACAAGATATCTCTATAATGCTCAACAGTGAATTTGTCCTTAGTTTAGAGACTTTCTCCCTGAATGAAGACCACTGCAGTACACATAAGTTATAAGTTTCTCTGTTTATCATAATATTATGCTCATAAAAGTTGCAAACAGTATTTCATTAGATCCCCCTTTTTTTTTGTCTGTATCGAACGTGAAGGATTTTGGCCAGTTTCGAAAATCAAAGATTGTGGTTAAAGATTTTAATGGTACTAGACTGAAATCCAGCAGAATCATTTGTCTATATATTCTTTTCTCCATCAATAAATTAAATAAAATATTTTTTATTATAATAATCAAAATAATCATTTGGTTGTTGTCTAATTATCTCATCAATTCTCTTTAAATCATGCTTTTTAATGCTGTTAAATCAACACCTTCATAGATTAAATGGCCTTCTTTTACTTTCAAATTATCTAGTAAACATCCAATATTCAAACCTTGATTAACTGATAATGCATATAATACAGCAATTCTTGCATCAACTTTATACAAAATCTCACAAATTAAAATTTCGTCTTTTTGAAACTCTAATGACAATGTTGTTAGTGATTTAACAACATCTTGAAGAAAATGTAAATAAAATAAAAATTGTGGGTCCTTCATAAAAAAAAAAATCCTTTAGCTTTCTGTGGAGTTTCATCTTTCTCATTTAACTTGCTTTTTAAATCATAAATAATAACATTATAGTCAGTTTCAAGCAATCTTAATGCTCTTTCCAGGCTAGCTAACCAACGAATATTTTTCTATAAAAGAAGCTATTTCTTTCAGTTCTTTTCTTCGCTGTAATAAAAAATAGTAAAAACGAAACAAAATATTGATGTTGTCATCAAACTCCTTTAAATAAATATCAAACATTATTGAGTCTAACACAGAAAGTTATAATCTCTGGGCCACGCAATGGGTATATAAAATATTAGGGTTTTTATTTTGCGTTATGGTTTGAACACCAGCTTTATTGCCAGAGATTACAATGCGCCATCAAAGTTAACATTTACAGTTTTTGCATAGATATTGTTCAAATATAAATATTGATCTTTTTGTCTGTTGTTAAACTTTTAAAAACAAATTCTATTGCATTTAATATACTGTCGGCATCAACTGTCAGTGGTGATTTAATACCAGCAAATAAAGTTAATGGATTACCAATTTTAACAAATATTAAAAAAAACTGTTTCTTGTTCACTTATACTCATATCAGTAGAACTGTCAGATAAAATTGTAGTAAAACGAGAATTGACTAAACAAAGTTTTTGCAAGCTTTGTCACTTTAGATCTCGCCCAACTTAATTCCATTTAGCTTTTGTAGCTCGCACAAAAGAACCTCCAACTATTAAACTTAAGCTCACCTTATCTCTAGTATTTTGTTGGGCGTAATATTTTCCCTAATGCATTTCCAAAATACCATGCCGGATACTTTAAGGTGCTGTTTGCAGGAAGTAGCTCCTTTTAATTACTCCAGGTCAGGTAAGGCTCAGGATCATCACAATCATCCTGCTACTGGTATTATGTAACCCAGTACCACCTGCCCCATGCCTTGCTACCTTGTAGAGTGTGCTTTTTCAGGCAAAGGCTGGAAGAAACAAACTCCAACTTTACAATCCCCTGCCTTCTGGCTCTCGGTTGAATAAAGGCTAGAAATAATGTCTCGATAAAAACACTTATCTTGGGCAGATGTTAATAGCATCCATCCACTGTCTTGTA